CACCACCACAAGGCAGCACCCCCTTTTGCAGCACGTACAGCAGGGAGCCGGCAGGCAACACAACTCTTTAACACCACACATCACAATCTCCCAAGGCACACAAAGGTGCTACAATTTAACTGTAACGGACTCCCGAGCAAGATCGAGGAGATAACTGTCTTTATGGGCAGGCATGGAATATTAATAGCGGCGGTCCAAGAGACGAAGTTGCACGGCAATTCAACCCTGTTGAATTGCGCCGGATACAACGTGCACGGTCGAGATCGCGAGCGAGATAATGGTGGAGGTTTAGCGTTCATCACGCACCACACCGTGCAGTATCGTCTTATTGACGCAGACATCGACCGCAGGGATACCATCCTAGATTGTCAGGGTATTGCTATCCGGTCAGGCGATGTTGAGCTCGAAATATTTAATGTATACATACCCCCTTTCACCAGCTGCCCGGCAGGATATCACCCTGAAATAGGTACGCTACTCAGAGGTGAAAACCGTATGGTAGTTGGTGACTTTAACGCGCACCACGATCTTTGGCACTCAAGCCTGTCGAATACATCTGGCTGAGCAGATAGACGATTCGACATTCTGCACAATGAACGACGACGCACCCACCAGGTTTATGGGCAGCCGCTGCAACTCGCCAGATCTAACAACTGTCAGCGCTGGTGTGATAAACAGCTTATCATGGCGACCTATGCTGACCCTAGCATCAGACCATCTGCCCATAGTCATCTCGATTGATAAACCTGCCGACTTTGCTTCCGTGGATCACCGGACTTATGTCAACTTTTCCAAAGCTGACTGGAAAGGCTTCACGGATGTTACTGAGGGCGCCTTCACTGCACTACCCATACCAACCGACGTTCATGTAGGTGAACGTAAGTTCCGCAGGGTTGTCACCGCTGCTGCAGCTCGCTTCGTCCCAGCAGGATGTATTACGGATCCACGTCCGAACTTTCCTGCTGAAGCGGCTGTTCTAGCCGATGAGCGCGACAACCTTCGTCAGGCCGATATTACGGATCTCAATTCGGAGATTCGGCAACTTTTGAACGTACATAAGCGGAAGAAATGGGAAGAGCATTTGAAGACCTGCAACTTCGCCTCTGGTGTGAGCAAGCTTTGGTGAACCGTGAGGTCGTTGTCCAACCCGACGAAGCGCGACGACAGAGTCGAGATAGACTTTGGTGACCACGCTTCGTCGGACCCGGAGAGATGCGCGAGCTATTTTATCCGGCAGTTCATTCTGCATCCTCCGGTGGATAAAGCCAAACGTCGAGTGACCAGAAGGCTGCACAAAATGCCAAAACCTAGTGCGCCTCTTGTTTTCACCAGCGGTGAGGTAAGGGTAGCCATCGGGAAGGCGAAAGCCTCCAAAGCCATTGGACCCGACGGAATATGCATGTTGATGCTGAAAAATTTGGGTCCTGCGGGAGTAGCGTACCTAACGGAGGTCCTCAACCTGTCTATAGCCACTCTCGTCATTCCAGACATCTGGAAAATGGGGAGAGTGGTCCCACTGCTCAAACCGGGGAAACCAGCCACCAAAGGAGAGTCTTATCGCCCGGTGGCTCTCCTTTTCCCGGTAGCGAAGACACTCGAGGCCATGCTGCTCCCGTCCTTTACGAACCACCTGACCCCAGCGAAGCATCCACATGGGTTCCGTAAAGTGCATAGCACAACAACAGCACTTAACGCCATAAATACTCAGATAACTCGTGGCCTAAACCGAAACCGCCCCTGTGAGAGAACTATTCTAGTAGCGTTGGACCTGTCCAAGGCGTTCGACACTGTCAGTCATTCAACGCTACTAGAAGATATAGAGGCCTCCTCACTCCCCAGAGTGGTCGACACCCGTCAGTAATTTTCAGAGACAAAACTAGCAAGCCACGTAAAATTAAACAGGGGGTTACCACAGGGCGGTGTCCTGTCCCCGCTACTGTTTAATTATTACATCTCAAAGCTTTCTAAGCCACCAGAGGGTGTTAAAATAGTCTCCTATGCTGACGATTGTTCGATCATGGCGTCTGGGAATGGAATTGATGACTTGTGCTCGAAAGTAAACGGTTACCTCTCCGAACTTTCTCGCTTCTTCACTGCAAGGAGCCTTGCCCTATCCCCTGCGAAATCCTCGGCAACCCTTTTCACCACCTGGA